TTTAGATTAGCCCATTATCATAAATCATACCGGAACCTATTCAGCAATACAACAAATAATTCATTAATATTGCCGCTGAAATAAATTTATCTCCTTCGCTAGTATTATTGTAATCGTCGCAAACTAAATATCGTATTAGCTAACTATATATAGTGTCACTAAATATCATAGCTGAACAAAGATCAAAACAGTAGTATTAAGTTATTCTGATGGCTTATATTTGTTAACAGTCTCATTCTTTCTTATTTATCGATTTAATATGATTATACAACACAATAATCCTATTGATGCTGTTGTCTAGTAATCAAGTATTAATGTCGTACTGTTCATCCGTTTTCTTTCTTAAAGTCGTTATTCCAGACAATATAATGTCTATGTTATTAACATTTTAATAAAAAGATTATTTACGGTAATATTAAATGTTCAGTTGTTATTACGTTGAATAGATCATCGGTGATGCACAGTTGACAATTTTAGATTGCTTAAATGCACCATTTGATCACATTATTGATAGGGTGAAGCCATGTAAGAAAATACAAATATAATTATTAGTCTCTAGTCTTAAGACAGCAGATGAAGGCTTTCTTTTTTAAAACAGCTGCTTATCTATTTAATATTATTACCATGAAATTTCGAAATTTAGTTTTGTTTTATTAAAGGAAATATTCTAAAATTCTCCTACGCTTATTTAATTTTATTATAGCTGTACATGATGGTTCGTTTTATATAATCAGCAATAGATAGGTAATGATTCCATACACTTACTTCAGCGCAATCATAATACTGGATTAACGAATTAAAGTGGTAAAACGCTGCAAGAATATAAATTTGGCTATTTATGTAATCAAAACTGCATAGTCTATTTTAGATACTGCAATTGGTGAAGTTGCTGAGCTATAACCAATATAGTTTACAAGAATAAGCGCAATATCTCCAATACGGGTCCTATTGATTAGATATATATGTTATGTTATGTATATATATAGATAAACATAATCATGTATTTCTGCACTTCTATAAGAGAGATATAATACAGTACCGGTACTATACCAAGAAGATGTTGATTTTTATTTGTCATGCTATAACACGCTATTGGTGTGTTCGAAAGTAACATAAAAATGATTATATTAGTCTAAGCAATATCTGAAAGATAGAATTTGAACTTAATTTTATTTGCGATTGACCATTATGCTTATTCAGTGAAAAATGAATTATCTCGTCTAAATAGCATAGCATACGACACGATAACTGGGATTGATGATAATTTTCTCATATTTTGCATGCAGTCAATTATACAGCTTATGAATGAAAAATATACCTGTAATTAACTAGAGTAACTAATTCATTCATAATACTATATATAGTATTTCATTTTGGTATTACACGTATAGAAAAGAATATTTACTTCACAACGCAAATATCTCTAAAAAATTAACCAATTTTCAGAGTTCTAAGTAGCTGGTAAAATAAATGACTGGCAAGTATTTCTATTAATGCATCATATTTATCGTAATTTTTTATTTATTTTGCGACTGGTTTTCATTATATTCATACAGAACAATTGGCCAATCGGATAAATCTATTCTATTATACGCAAGACGTAATACATATTAGTGAAATGTTTTCTTTAAGACTAAATTTATTTTTAATGGTGAAATAATGAACAAATACGAATTTTGCTTCAAACTGAGTTAATATACGCGTATACATACTTATATTAGAAGTTCAGAGAGAAGAAATGACCTTATAAAGTTGGCGAATTAATATAATATTCTTTAATCAGTAGTTAGCCAATCTATCCTGCTATCATTGCACCTAATAGCTACTGCTGTCGCTTTGCTTGGTCATTAATCAGTAGATACCACCTAACTTCATCAGTAAAAGGATTTATTTCTAACGATAGATATTTCTTTAGCTAGTTACGACTGATTATCTGTGGATTAATGGCAAAATTAGATATTATAGTCGGCAGAATTAATGTCTAACACTTAATCTAAGCGGTAAAATTACACCCTTTATCAATGAATTCTATACTCTCATACCCATTTAAAGCATCAAAAGGTATCTTAGATTTGGCTACGATAGGGTTACACAACGTTATGTAATGTGTAGAGAGTGTCTCCAGGAAGTATCCTTCCTGTAGATATCAACGATTCCTTTCATGTGTATAAAAGAGAATATATGTTAGGAGAAACAATCAATTGGTTTAGCACAATTTTCTCTGAAGGGATCATAATATATTTAAAATTTCCGGCTTTAGTGTTTAAGTAAATACGGATGTGGCAACTAGGTTCATTCTTAAAAGAAACCTTGCGGTTTTCTTCAATTTACATTGGCTTATGATAGTAGTTAATTCTTCAGTTATATGATTGCGAGGTATTTATTTTTGGTCTTTTGTCTCTACAAGTACGCTGAAGTAGATTAATGCAGGCTTATGATAGCAATTTATGAGTAAAGAATATTTATTTGATTAATAAAACTAATATAACCTCATCTTAATTTAAAATAAACTATCTATCTCCGAGGTATTATAAAAACAATTGGCTCAAGGAAAAAAAGTAAAGCATCAATTTAGAAGTGACCATCAAAAGCAGTTTAAACAAAATAATACCTTTGTATTATTAATGTATCACTATTGCTGTTCGTTGAAATAACTTTTCAACTCTATGGATTCATTTTTCCACAATTCCACTAATTTAGTTTTTTGATGAGGATAATCCACTACTATTAGTGTTAATAATTAATGTTGCTATGAATAGTATCTAATCTAAACATGATGAAATACCAAATGTTTAATGAATCCTAGAGATATGGTTAATTTTGGTTAAGAAGGTATATTCCTAGTTGGATCAGTGGTCAATCTTTTATTTAAAATTAAAAGGAACAAAAAGAAATTTTCTTTCAACTTTAAGCTGGCATCATCACCAGTGGTAATAGTGGTCTACTTGAAATTAACATAGTGACTTATATTCAACTCGACACGAATACATGTAAAATATTAATCGATTTAAGTTATTACTTTAAACTAATCTATTAATTTTGCAAGCATTCAATATGATAAAAGCATACATTTGGGTCAGATTACTACTTAGTGCGGCTTTATATTTCTAGTAGCTTCAGTTACCTTTAAATTTCTACATTTTAGTCCATGATATACGGCAATTGATATCGTATTTCTTTTTCGAATGCTATACTTCGTACTATTGGAATAAAAATAACTATTTCCAGCCGCTAAATTCTGGTATATGATAGTTATAATTTTTATGAAGCAGAAATTATCAAGATGTTGTAATATTTCTAGCAATTTGAAATTCTCATCAATTCATATTAAATTAATTTTCCAGGTACACCTTTACCGAGAAGAATTAATTAATAGCCTTTATAATAACGAAAACAATGATTATATCACTACTCGTAATGCTATAATTTGGAATTAGATTATATCTTTGATTCTTTGATAATTTCTTCCTTTTTCATTTAGTAATTATATTAACAATTCTGTACGTACACAATGAATACTTTTGACGCAGCATTTTTTAACAACTTTTGGTACTAAGAGTGCATGAAACTAATTTATTCCTGAATAGCATCAAATATTTGTCAAGAGTTTGTTTTAAGCTAGGCGGAGCATCGATAGTAATAGGACAGCACTTGCGCAGTCAACTGAGCCTTATAGAGGTGAAAAATATTTATAGCAAAATTTCATGGATTACAATAATATTATCTGTTGGACCTTAATTATTAAATGAAATATAACACTGGTAATTATCTTTCATTGCTAACGATCACTGTATTGTTAGCTATTCCTATCTAATTTCACAATTTTAAGCTGTTCAACTTTGCTTCAGGTTTTATTTCATAATATCTCAAAATTAATAAAATAGATTGGGAAGTAGGTAATCACATGATAAATTCTAACTTAGCTTGATGATAGTATGGTTAATGAAAATCCTTGAAAAGAGGAAGTTCCTTACAACGAAGCATCATTCAACGCTTGAATAAACTTCATGATTATTCCACCTGCATGCGGTATCAATTATGTATTAGATTGTCATTATTCCTAATTAATTTTGTCATTTTAATTTCTGAATATCTATTTTAAAGTTTTAATCCTTTTCCTGGCAACTGAAGTACTTAATAATTTTCTATTGCATCCTTATTATTATTTCTTTTCTATTATCAATCAAATTGGTAGATAGCTACCAATTTTATTGAAAAGTGCGTGAGTGTATTATTACTTAAGTGATGATAGGCGTGGAGAATCTATCTGTAGTCAAAGTGACCATTCGCCTCTGGAATAAAGACTTAGAGTGAATCTTCCATGTGATTTGTGCAAACGTATCAAATTTATATTATAATGCTAATATTCTTAGTGTTATAGCAATCATTTGCAACAGTATCATATTGCTGGTGAAAATTTTTTGATACATTTTTTAATGAGATTATATGAATACTTGAGTTAGGAAATAATTTTGAAATAGTTGATAGCTATTAACTCACATGTAAAACGCCAATTGATCTTAACTAAGATATAAATTTTAGAGAAAACTATTCTAAATTTAATTGAATTATTATTTGCAATGAATGAAAATTTAAACCATATCCTATAGTCCTTCCTTTACTGGAATAAATTACAATTTTAATTGCATATGCTTTATTATTTAAACTGAATAGATTAATTGGTACACCATATGTTATTCGAATGCTACTACAAAAGCAAGTAAAGAATGCATAAAATATTTTCCGGTCAGTCGTTATGTCTGTAATTAAAGTTAATTGCATTTAGTACTAATAATTTTATCCTAATGTTCTTTAAAAAATTCACTCCACACACAGACAATTAGCAAATCAAAATAAAAGTTCAAGGAGGGCAAAATATTTACCAATTAGCTAGATAATCGGCCAATAAATTTCTATATAAAGGTTAACGAGGTGAGCTACCAAATCATTGTGACTTAGCCGTACTTTTGTTAACTTGAACTCAACACTATTGGAATAAAATGCCAGCCAAAGGTTTGTTTGTACTTTATCATTTGATACATTAACACGTCGTAAATTGTAAGTCGCCAAAGACCAGCTCAGCGTTACTACTGCTTATTCGCCCTACGTTAAATTTCAAATTTCAGATCATGCTTAGTATTTTATTTTTCGATCTTAAGAGTTAGACATTTAATCATTGAATAGTCAAAAGCAGTTTTTGTTGAATATCTAATCTATAAAATAATCTCTTATAGCTAAAACTATCTTAATAATCTGGAATGCAATACTCGTTTGCTTTTGTTGGTATTGCGGTGCTAAACCTGTTCAACCATCAACGAAAGATGGATCTGTCCTCGACGTCCTCGATATCGTCAATGGCCAACTACGTGACGTCCAAATTATTGTTGGCAAGTACTTAGCTGAATATCGCAACAGCTTCCCCAAAGACAACGATAACGAATTTGAGGTTACATGTTGCCAAAAAATTACAATCATATCGCATGATGCGCTGGTGAGTATCCTAAATCCAACTAAATATTCATTTTACTTTATTTTATCTTCGTTTTCATTTAAACAGCACTATCATGATCGGTTCTTCTGATAGATCATGATTATTTAGTGGTAATCAATTAAATCTTATAAAATACTATCAATACATTCCAATGATACTTTTAATTGTGAATACACACTCTCTCTCTTACTAATTATCATACTATACACGTGCAACCAATTTGTATTTTGGTACTGAATTTTACAATTACCAAATATTGCTCTTTAGTTTTGTCAGATATGATCCGTTAATTATGCCAAAAACGATGCTATAATCTCTGACAATATTGGCAATAAATTGTGCTGTACTATACATTATTATTTTTTCACCGTTGTTTCCTCTTTGTCTTAGTACAACTACGTAAAATAACCACATAAAATACCATTATTATTTATTGTAAGAGTTTTCGCTAAGGCTATTTGACGACGCCTAATTCCAGAAATTATTGTAATAATTTTGTATCTTTGCTCTCTTTAATCTACAGTCTTCACCATGTCTACGATTGAAAAAGCTCGTCAAGAATTTATTAGAATTTTCACGCCCTAATGGAAAATTTCAGCAGTTTATTATGCAAGGCAAAGTGCAGAATAATACCAAATTATTGTTAAAAATTCAATATTTACTTGACAAGACGAAAATTCTATATGAGAATTTCCTCTACCTCGTAAGTCAGCTAAAATTTAAAAATAAACATTTATAACAGATTACTAGTGCATGATTGCAATACTACAGCTTACGAAGTTATACCGTAGATTTAAAAGTATAGTATCATATTAACTTGTAGGATTTGCTATTTCAAAATACTTAGCGTAACTTAACTAAAGACTAACTATTATAATAAAATTTTGCTTATACTTTACTTAGTTTAGCTTTGATCGGCGTTCAAATGTGAATAAAATATTTAGAAAGCTAGAAGTAAGTAAAACCGGTATCGTTCATTTTTGCTAATTAATCAATGATTGTGTTAAGGAAAGAATTCATTGTCGTCTCTCAGTAAAAACCATAAATGTATTCATTTTAATTGAATCAATCAATATGGTTAAATATCAATGAAAAAATGCCGCTATTTAAATACTAGCATTTATTAGTATGTCAAGAAAAAAATAAATCAATAACGTTATCGTTCTATATTTTTTCATCATAGACTACACAGCCATCACTATCATCAAATAGTAATAATCAACCTAAAGACATAAATATAACGACAGCGCCTTCGATCGAAAATGATCAAAATTTTATGGATGAATGGTATTATAATCTCGTCGATTATGATAGCAACTTGAACGCCATTTTTATAACATTGTTATTACTACGGGAAAGTGTCGTCACGGAAGGACGATTAGATTGTCGTCGATAGAAATTCATAAATAAATTCTTATTATTTATTTGCTATTTCTCTCTATCATTGTATAATAACCCATATTTCTAAAGATAATGTCAATACCGGCATATCCGTTTTATATCTAGATTACTATCTTTCAAACTATAAGCATGGATTACTTATGATAACGTATCGTCATTAAACTATGACTCTAAAAACTGTTAATAACAATATTCTTTGACAATAATGAATCGTTTATAACTTTTTGTAATATATAAAATAGATCTATATAGCTGGTATACACTCTTAGCAGTAATATTGTCAATAGTACCAGTTAACAACAAAAATAAGGAAATTTTGGTATATTATGATGTTGTCGTTCGAAGTTAACGTAAAATGATAGTAGATTGTGATGCAAGTAGAATTTGATACTAATAATAGCTGTTTCCGTATGATCACTGTTTTACTTCAATTTATGGCTACGTTTAAAGTGTTAAATAACATCACATTATATTATCATTACATTGGAGTCTATCGTTGGCAGAAATTTTAGTAATGGCTTCCGACGATTTTATTACAGATTAGGATGATGTTTAGTCTTAGGAAAGTTGTTTCTTATCTTGATCATATAGCGATACACAAGAACAATTATCAATTAAGTAATTAATTTATTAATATTCTTGCGAAATAACGGTCATCAAAATACGATCCGTAGCCATACCTTTGTTTATGATGTAATTAATTATCTGTTAATTTTATAATAGAATTAATATAAAAATAGATAATTGCTCTTTACATCATACTGATATATTATGCTATCTTGGCAAGAATCTGATGTTGAGCAATAATATGCCATTATATTGAAATCATACTACAGGTTGATCATTATTTTCTACTTAACAATTTCAACTTGTTAACTTGTTAAGGGAAATAATACGGTCATAATCGGTATTGCTATACCTTATGACTAGCTCACAATTAAGATATGAAAGTTAACAGCTAAGCAATATCATTTAAATTTCTACATTCGTATTGAAGAAAAATAATCATAACTGGAATAAATATTCATATATGATGTCATTTTAAATCTTATTGTGAACAGACTATGAGTTATTATTATGCAGTAACATCGTTTGACGAAGTGTGATCGTCTTGGTTTACTTTCTGGTTTGACGTAATATTTCTCTAGAAACGTAATAAATAAACGACATTTTCTTTATGTACAGGTAGAATCACGTCAGAGCTTTTGAAGTAGTAGACAAATAGTTATAGAAACAAATAAAATGTCAACTAATGCGAAAAATTAAAATCTTATGCCATGAATAAGTTAATCTTAATTTTTAGCAATAGCATCATCAATATCATTTCTGTAATGATTAATAAAAAGTATAAAAATACGATAGGAAACGATGTTCTATAAACGTAGCGAAAACTTTTAAAATCAGCAAAAGCTAGCAATGAAGTGATTTCCTTCCACAAAATATGTCAAATTGAATGTAAGGTATTGTATTCACATCGATATTAAGAGCATTAACAAGAAGTTAGACGATATTTTAGGTCGATAAGTAAAGAGCTTATGGTAAAAATTAATATTTGTGCCACATCAGTAGTTGTTGATGAAGTAGTACTGACCAAAAGTACAACAACCAGTATTTATTATTGCTTATATAGCTTGATGAAATTACAGTTAATACAAGTCATCGTTTGTGTTTTTCACTACGGTATAATATACACATCTACTTGTATATATGATATTGCTTCCTTTTTACGTAAATAAGGCACTAGTGCGATTAGTTAAACTTTGCTTAAAAGTAGAATTGTGATATTTTCATCGATACCAATATTTCAATCTTGTTATACGAGTACATACGGGCTAGTGCTTATTGAAGATGTTATTGATGCCCTGGATATTGTCAATATCGTTCAATTGTTATGCTGCAATTCGAAAAAAATTGTGTACGTTAACTTTAACATTGCACGTGCTCACTATATCTATGCAAATATGATAGTGACGGCCATATTTAGACCGCACCTATTTATTTTGTTTTACAATCTTGGTAAATAGGGCTACAAATACGCTGGAATTTAGCTTAATTCAAATGATGATAAAGCATATGTAGATCCAAACACATTATTCTCCATACAAAATAAAGCATCTGGAGTGTTTAACATCAGCAATTAAGGCTTGTTATTGAGAGTTAATGTTTCACAGGCTCTTCCGTAAATATCCAAGTATAACGTAGTTTATATTGAGCACCCAAAAGCATGTAAATATAAGATCGGATAGTGGCAATTGACTGCAATAGTATCTATTTGTAGTTATAGATTGCAAGCATACGATAAGGGAAGATTTATTATAAGTTAATAAAGGACGAGAAATAAAGGTTCATTTTTATGTTTTTAATTGTCTTGATAAGTGAATATTCTTATATAATATTTTAACTATTCATATTGCAACTTCATTCCATATTTCTTATTAGTTCATTTTTATTGGCAAGAATATGCATGTTATTTCAAAATTAGCGCTAAAATCAATAATGCTCTACTGTACGAGGTATATTTGCAGTTGCGACCCTCCTATCATGTTTGACCATTTTTCTTACATAAAAAAATGCTGGCAATATTGCTGGCAGTTACTTAGCATGTTTTCGTGAAGTTTATTCGCGCGTTTTACAGAATAGGTTATCAATGCGTTATTGATGTAGCGATAAATAACCCCTTGTAACCTTCTTTAATTAATCAACAATTCTTAGCATATCTTGACGTGGGATGAAACTTCTATTAGTACCGTATTGTGCATTATTATGCCAATAGCCATTGCAATACGCCCCCAGTCTACGATTTTTGCTGCAATACGTTGGCTATTGTTCAGCCAGGACTAAAATTTTATTATTGGGTCGGATGTTCGACTCAAGTCATATTGACCGATAAAACCTACGGATACCATTTCCTACCTGGAATATAAAGAACCATATAGATTTGTAAATGAATTTAATGGTGAGTAGATACTACAAAATTGCTTACGCTCTAATTGTAACAGTGTTATGTTGCGCAAAAATTTAGTTTCTATCAAATATTTTGGGGTGTTTCTTAGGAAATGAACCCCATTTTTTCCAATTACAAAATATTATAAGTAATTTCATAAATTAACATCCTTTGTTAAATTACTATGACTTTTTGAACCAGGTATTATACTTTAATTTACAGTACTATCGATAATGCACACAAGTAATCATTTAAGGCCTATAATTACGTATCATTCATTATTATAAAAGTTAAATAATGATTATAATTATAATTACTAATCAAGATATTGACAACGTAATTAATGTAGTTGTGTAATTAGTACAATATTGCAATACTGTACAATATTTGATTTCTAGAATTTGAGTGATCAATTAAATTAAATGATAAAAATAAAATTTATAAATAAATATTAATATAAAAAAAAATCTCTTTATTGGGACACTAACTGTTGTGCATTCAGGGATAATAGATACTTAAAAAAAAAATGCGGTTTTAACATTGCGTATAATTACAGCATTGACTAGTACCCTATGCTGTACATTAGTGTACAGTAATTATATTGACGTTTGACGAATGTCCTGAGCGTCATATTAATCCGCTCAGGCAAACCCTGACCTATGAAAGCAACTAGGCAGCCTATTAGTATCGTTTCAATCGAATAATGACAAGTACGGTAATGAGGCAGCCAAGAGCTACAGGAAGTTATCGCCTTCTAGTCATGCTAGCTTGTGCCCACAGAAACTTGAGAAATCCAAAAGAATTCGTAATTTCTGACACTGTGTACGAATGGACCAAAGCATACAATAGACTGCCGGGTAATACATGGAAAACATTGTGCAGTAAGTATGCTCAAATACCGTATGAACATATTGACAATGGGTATAAAGATGAGCGATTCTCCTTCCGATGTCCACGAACACCATGCTCACCCACACCCAAGGACTTGCAGCAAATTAAGTTTTAATGCGTATTGTTTGCTTCTACTTTTCCATACTAAAATCCTCCTATGAAAATTATGCATTTTTTCCTACTTTACTGGTAGTGCTTATGTGCTAGCTAGTAGACTGGTACGTAGTGTATACTCAGTCAACCCAGCCCTTTCGCTATGAATATATCCAGAAATGCAGCTGAAACGGCTGTGTATCTTCAATGCAATTGGCCAAATCTATTTGCTTTTTCTTAGGAAAATCTATCAAGGTTTTCGGTGTGCACCTGTCAAATCAAAGTCATCAGCTCCTACTCCCCTCGAATTACTTACATCTTTTACTTTCTGACGGTAACTTATCTACACGGGCGAAACTGCGGAATCGGCAAGACTAAATCTGTCAAGTACACACCGAAAATCTTAGTGTATAGCGTTAAAACTTGGCATATTTGCTTGGACAAGTCCCGTTTTATGAAGGTAAACAGCCCATTTTAGCGGCATACTCGTAGATGTCCCATGGAAAGGTTTGGTTCTAGTGTACACTAGAGCGTACAGTAGGGCGTTCCAGTAGTTATTAGTGATCCTATACTGTACACATTGCTGAAAGAGCTTATACGGAGCATCATACTGTCCATACTGGATTGTATCTACCAAGCTTAAATCCATATTAAGTCCATTTAACGCATGCCCAAAGCGAATCGTGTACAGCTATGGATTACTAGAAATTCTACCAGACAACCTAGTGACAGTCAGGTCTACCGTCTAACTAGTGCAGATCGCAGAATGATCACTCTTGGACGGACAGACATTTTTCTGCTTCATTTCGTCAAAATATTGTGCCAAACACTTTGATACAGTACAGTATGACACTACTTTTGTACCGTATGCAGACGGTCGATTCTGAATTGAGTGATTTTTTCTAAAATTAAGTAATACTAGTGCAAACTCCCGTCGCTTTACTGACGGTTTACGATAATGTGCTCATTTAACAGAGGTTCAGTAACTTTATACCGTACCGTGTAAGTTGATCTGGAAACAGAGTTATACTGTACTGTATGTACTGTACTGTACAGTATAGAAAACA